AAAATTTGAAGGTACAAAGAGAAACAATTCTGATGAAGAGGAAATGGCCATCAGTTTAAAGAACCTAATGTAGATGCTTAGGAAGTAAAGGCATATAATGAGAGAGGAATATATAATAGCACGGAATACACTTGTAAGAAGAGTTTGGTGGGGCAGCTAGGTGGCACAGTGGATAGAGCACCAGTCCTGAAGTCAGGAGGACCTGAGTTCAAATATGGCCTCAGACCAAACACTTGCCACTTACTAGCTGTGTGACCCTGGGCAAGTCACTTAACCCCAGTTGCCTTAAAAAAAAAATAGTGTTTGGTGTGCTAAAGCTCAAAATAAGTTGATATTGACTTGGAAGGCTTTGGATAAGAAAAAGAAAAAAATATTTAAGGCATATTGAGGAAGAGGAATAAAGAAGAGATAAGATCATGACTTGGTTTGGTTAGGAATATGATAATCAGTGACTGAAGGTAGAGCTTCTCATCTCTTTTATTTTCTCTGCCAATTAGAATGGTATTTGAAAGGACAGAACGTAACAGGTTAATTGGAAACTGAAGTCCAAGATATTTCCAGAGATAATGGGAGTCATATGACTACTCTTGGTTCTCTGCCTGTGTATCTGACTAATCTTTAGGCTCCCTGGCAGGAACTTCATCAATATCATGCCCACTAACTCTAGATGTTCCTCAAGAAGAGTCTTTCCTGGGGCCCACTTCTCTCTTTGCTTAGTTAGGTCTTGAGGCCTTGATTAGCTACCTCCTTGGGTAATGGAAGAACTAATAGTTTTTCTGAGTTCGGTGATCTTGGAAAGGTCATGGAGAATAGGAGATACATTGTAGTATATGAAAAAGATAAACTAATGTCCCAATTATTGAAAAAGGGGGAAGAGTGAATTCTTTTAGGAGGCATGACCTCATTGCCTCCTAAAATTCTAGAACATATTTTGTTCTATACAATATCTAGTCTGTGAAGAGGATAGATAGGGATAGATATTTAACATCTAAAAAAAGGAAACAGGAAACATTGGGTTATAGATTAGAGTTGGAAGGGACCTAATAAGATTGTTCTAACTGCTCTAATCTTGTAGGTGAGGAAACTGAGTCTCCAAAGAGGTTAAGTGACTTACACAAAGTTATGTAGGTAATAATTGGCAGAAAAAGAGTAGCATGGATTAATCAAGAACAGGTCATGCCAAAATAATTCTTATAAAAAAAATTTTAATTGATTCATTTTGTCTTTATGTTAGTTATTTCAAAGCTTCACTCCTAATTGACCCTTCATTGTGATAAAGAACAACTAAGCAAAAATATTATACATTTAATGGTGTATACAATATTCTTTCCTCCTAGTCTTCCATCTCCAGTTCTTTTTGTTTGTTTCATTTTTTATTAATTAATTTATTTTTGTTTATCAACAATCACTTCTATATGCTTTTGAGTTTAAAATTTTTCTCCCTCTTCCTCCACACCACCTTCCCCAAGACAGCACACAATCTGATATAGGCTATACATATACATTCCTATTGAACATATTTTCACATTGGTGATGTTGTAAGTAAGAATTAGAACCAATAGGAGGAACCACCAGAAAGAGGAAACAAAACTCAACAGAAGAAAAAAAAATAGCAAATAGTATGCTTCGATCTGCATTCAAACTCCATAGTTCTTTTTTTGCTTTGATCTGCATTCAAACTCCATAGTTCTTTGTTCTTTTTGTTTCTTAAGGAAGGAATTTATACCTTTTAAAAATAGTATTGTATTAGCTGATATATCAGAGGAATGATCTAAATTGTTTACTTGAATTTTAGCAAAACATTTGACAAATTCTATTTGTACATGATTTTGTATACAAACTAGAAAGATGTAGGCAAGAATCAGACATCAGCACACTATGCTCCATGGACCACATCTGGGCCGCTGCTTGTTTTGTTTTGCCTTGTGAATTAAGATTGGTACTTTCAGGTTGTACAGAAACAGACAGTGGGTACAATTGTGCCTCACGGTCTGTAGTCTGCCTATTAATAATAGGTAATTTGGAACTGTTTGAATGACTAAACCCAAAGAGTAGTTTTTAATGATTGGAAAGGTGTCTCCAGTGTAGTATCCCAAACATTAGTGCTTGACCCTTTACTTTTTATCTTTTTAATGATCTTTTTATCAATGATTTGGCTAAAGACAAAAATGGCATACATAGCAAATTTGAAAGGAGTTAGGATCCAAAAATATCTTGACAGGTTAGAACATTGGGCCAAATTTAAATTTCATTTAATAGACAGAAAGTTAAGTCTTACATTTGTCAGTTTCATAAGTATGAGAAAGTGTGGGGTATGACTTGACAGCAGTTTTTCTGAATTTTTCCAGTTTTACTCAACTGGAAACTCAACATGAGAAAAATAATATGACTGATATCATTAGTTTGCAGCAAAAGAGGAAAGTATGTGATTGCTGCACTGAACTGGCCTTGGTGAGACCAAATCTAGAGCCTTGTATACAGCTCTGGGCACCACATTCCAAGAAGGATAGTTGGCAAGATTATTTACATATACAAACGTATGTATGTACATATGTACTACATACACATACACACACACACACACACACACACACACACACTTCAGTTAACAAGCATGTCTTTTGTCTCCTAGACACACCTTCCATGGGCGGGGAGTGGGGGGAGAGGAAGGAGAATATAAAGGTGAGGAGGAAGAAAAAGAAAACCCTTATAACAAATCTCTATGTTTAAGCAAAACAGATTCCTACAATGGCCATGTAAAAAAACGCATGCTTCATTTCTGCCTCTTTAATTCATAACTTCTCTGTCAAGAGGTTGGGTAGCATGCTTCATCATTGGTTCCTGGTATCATGGTATGATCATTGCATTGATCATAGCTCTTAGGTTTTTCAAAATTTTGTCTTTATAATGATGTTATTGTATAAATTGTTCTCTTGATTTTGCTCACTTCATTTGGTTTTGGATAGTCTCAAATCAGTGGTTTGAAAAAGGACTTTATTCCCCCCTTTTGATACAACCGAGAGCTTCCTGATATTTGTCACATATACTGATGAATACCCATTTCTGTTGATATATTTGGGAACAATTCTGCTGAGTATCAGCAGAAGGAATCCAATCAATCTCTAGGCATATAAGGCCTTGGTCAGAATCTAAAGGATACTGGGACACATACAAGTGGTACTTTCTTTGCTACTTCCAATTTCAAGTAGGAACTCAAGAAGAAAAAGAAGAATACTAAAATTGGTTACAATGATGATGTTGGAGAACTGGATTTAGTTCTCTGGATCATGGCTGACGACATCAGGATGTTGAGTTTTTGGAAAGGAATGAAGTTCCTCTTGCCACAAACCTATGTTAGAAAAATCTACTTTCTTCCCCCTTTGCAAATTAGTATGTTTGACCATCTCTTGTCTTGTAGTACCTTTCCTGTTTTCTATAGTTCTCTAGAGATCAACAGTTATTCAGCAATGAGATCCACAAATTATTTCAGTGTCTTAACCTACAATGTCTGCTGCAGGTGTTTTGAACTCACAGAGGATAGTTAGATGCATAACCCCCACCCCCCACTCCACCCTAAAAAAACCCCAAAAAACTATTTCCTCACTTAATTTTGTGTCCCCAGTAAGCATTATTATTTTTCTTGTCAGTCTAGAGATCATTTCCCTTGGTACAAAGATCGGAACAAAATAGATGCTGATTATTAACTACCTTTTCTCTGACTCCCATTATCATTGCCCCATCTCCCTCCTCCTCCTCGTGAGGTCTTAACTGACCCTTTTCCCCAATGCTAGTGCTCCCTTCGTTAATTTTTATTTACTTTGTATGCAGTTTGTATTTATTTCTGTGACTGTTTTATTCCCCCCAGTAGAATGTAAGCTTTTTGAGGTAAGGGACTGTCTTGCTTTTGTTTTTGTATTCCCTGGACTGAATAGTATAGGTGTAGCATTATATTGCACAAAGTATAAGTACTTAATAAATATCTATTGAATGAATGTTTAAATGATTGGGAAAATTAATTAAATTAAGTATCAGACTTGAAACTAAGTTCTTTTCTTTCACATACCTGCCTTAACATGCATCTGAGGTTCTGTTTTTCTACCTAATTTGAAATGCTAGGTAGATTACACTTAAAGCTTATTGATTATGAACTACTCTTTATCTTTTTGATACCTATCCATTACATTACATGTTTGTGATCTCAAACTGTGACTTCAGACTGAGTCCTAAATTGAGGGTTTGAAAGGTAAGTCAAGGATGACATTTTCCATTATGAAGTCTATCCAGGATGTCTTCTTACTTGTGGGTGGAATTTTTAAGACTGTTGGGCCATAGTTCTAGAGCTGGAAGTAACTTTAGATGTCCTCTTGTTTAACCCCCTCGTTTATGCTGAGGCTCAGAGAGGTGAAATCTCTGACCATGATATAGGTGGTTCATTTATAGTTTTGTTATAGGGTTATGAAGGATAAACATGGAGAAATATTTTTCCCAGCATTTTAATGAGGGGAAAGTTTTCTTTCTTTCTTTCTTTCTTTCTTTCTTTCTTTCTTTCTTTCTTTCTGTCTTTCGTTCGTTCGTTCGTTCTTGGCAATTGGGGTTAAGTGACTTGCCCAGAGTCACACAGCTAGTAAGTGTCATGTGTCTGAGCCTGATTTGAACTCAGGTCATCCTGACTTCAGGGCCAGTGCTCTATCCACTGCGCCACCTAGCTGCCCCTGAAAGTTTTATTTCTTAAGTGATGCTTTTGTTGCCTATGTGTGACTCTTAGCTCTCCTTAAAATTTAGATAAAGAACTTGTGTCAAACTTGTGATTGTGTTTTTGGAATTGTATTTTGAGTTTCTTTATACTGTTCATAGGAGATTAGAGCTTAAATAGTGTAAATCTCATTAGTAATATAATAGGATGAAAGATGTCTACTTAGGAGAAATGTGAAGAATTTCTATAGATTTCCATCTGATTTCTCCAACAGAAGTACCTCATTCTCATTTTCTTTTCTTAATAGGCACCAATTTGTAGAAAATAACTTAATACTAAAAATGGGTCCAGTAGATAAACGAAAGGTAAGTGAAATTCATTTTGATAACCTAGTTATAGATCTATGTTTTAAATGGTATTTCTAAGAAGAGAAGTGTTTTCTCCTGCATGATAGATTTAAAAAAAAAACAAAACTATCCTTTCCAAATATTCTATAGTTATGGATCCTGAGGTAGTTAGGGTAATATTAATGTTCCCAATTTGCAGATGAGTTAAATAAGGCTCAGAAGAGTAAATTGACTTATTAAAGGTCACATAGCTTGTAAATAGCCGCCTCAGTCTCTAGTCTCCTGACTTTTAAGTGGAAGACTCTTTTCATGCTTCTCGAATTCCATATATTTCCCATATTATCTGGAGTTAATAACTTAACCCAGTTTAGTAATTGAGGGAGATTGTAGCAAGTAGAAAACCAAGAGAGTACTATGTATACTTGTCTGATGAAGGCAGTAGCAAAATTCATACCAGGCCTCACACCACTGACTCTCAGGCCAGTATTCTTTATTATGTATATTTGCCTGATTTCCCCAGCTAAGATTTCCCTTGAAGTTAAGAGGGGCTTGTGATTTTCCAACAGGCATTCTTAGTGTTCTAGAATTTTTTTCTTTTCCAAGGAGTTAAGCAAGTAAAGTAAAATTTAAAAACAATTTTTTTGTATAGATACTAATTTTGTTAAAACAGCTTTGAAGTTCATGTCCAAAAAGTGAAAAGTTCACTCATTTTTATCAGTTTGCCTGCTCCTAGTCTGCTGCATCTGTCATTGTTATTACCGTACCCTCCCTGGTTTATTATTTCTGTCTATAACCCAAAACAGCAAATCTCAACTAATAGAAACATAGTCTATGGATAAAAAGCATTCGTTTGTAAAGAATCCCCTTTACTCTGGGAAGGAAGGGGGAAAAAAAAAAGACTGTGGAATGAGGGACCTCTTTGGAGGCACTCTCTAACTTCTTTCAGTCATTGGAATTTGTGCTAACTTATATGGGTATAGAAAATTTTGATATTGCCTACTTCTTCGTCTGTCTATACCAATCTGTGTAATGTAAGTAGAATATCCAGAGTCAAGTGCATTGGAAGCACATGTATATGATAAATGAAGGGAGAATTATATTCCAGAACCTGTTTTGGAAGTGCTTGGCTTTTTCCTCTTCCCTATGTGAAGTTGAGGTTAGGGAATTTGAAGAGACTTGACTTGGTCACATAGGTGGATGGGACCTGTTTGCCTAATTACAGGTATAAGTTGGCTTCTAGGAACTTTAATGAGTAGTCATAGAAATGATCCTCCATAAATAACCCTTGCTTCTTCATTTTAGAAAACATGGATTTTTATGTTTATTTATATCAGGGTTTATTTGCACGCCGTCGTCAGTTGCTCCTTACAGAAGGACCACATTTGTATTATGTGGACCCTGTCAACAAAGTCCTGAAAGGAGAAATTCCCTGGTCACAAGAACTTAGGCCGGAAGCCAAGAATTTTAAAACCTTTTTTGTTCACACAGTAAGTATTCTTTCTGAGCTCTTTCATTTGTTTCATAACTTAAGGGATTTTACTATTTTCCTTTTATGTCTTCTAATGACAACAACAAATAACAATAATAATAGCAGCTGCCATTTTTATAAGTGTTACAGTTTATAAAGCGCTTTGCTTCCAGTAACCGTGTTATTCAGGTAATAGTGTCACTATTTTCCTTCACTACTTAAAAAAAATTTGTGATTTCATCAGTATGAGAAATTTTTATATTAATACAGATAGTATGTCCTTAAGGCCTGAGTAAATGATTCTCATGAGTAACTGTGGTCAGCCTTCTCATGATGAACATCTTTACACTTAGGCTGGTCCTTGGATAATAGACTCATTTTCTATGACCATTTCCATATTTGAAGCCTTTCTGGTTCCATTAACATAGCCTTTGAGAAATCATAGTTGCCTCTGTCCCATAATGATCCATTAGAATGGAACTTTGGGGGGAGAATACCTGTTTTATAGATCAGGAAACTGAGGCTTAGAGTGGTTTCATGACTTGACCATAGTCTCAAAGCTAATAAGTGGTACAGCCAAAACTTAAATCAAATTTTTCTGACTCCAGGTTTTCTTTTCTTCTGTATCATGCTGTCTTGCATGATTGGGTGCACTAAGCTGGAATGACCAAAAAGAGAACCTTGCTACTTTTTTCTTAGGTTGCCCTCTCAACTTTCACCACAGGTCAGGCTCATTTAAAATACCATTTGATGACTCAGTTCTACCTGGTTTCTTTTAGTTTTCCTCAGGAATTAACTTGATCTGTTTTCAAATCTGTATTTTTCTTTCTTTTTTTTTCCTTCCATTTTTCAAACAGTGTTTTGTTTTTAATTTTATTGGCATCTTTTGTTTTTACTCTAGTGATTTCCAGTTGTCTTGTGTCCCCTTCCACCCTCTCCACATACTCAGTTGAGCCTTTCTTTGTCACAAAAAAAGTTAAGATCAACTGGCCCAGTGACCACTTCTGAAGGCATATGCAACATTCTGTACAGCTAGTCCCTTATCTCTTTAAAGAAAGTAAAGAGGATAATTCTCCCTTTCTTCTCTAGGACCATGATTTTACCTTATTTTTCCTTGTTATTACCTTATTTTTCAAATGGTGATATCTTTTTAAAGAAGCCACTGATGTAAACATTATAGTGTGAGCTTAGTTATCTTACTTTGACATTGTTGTTTTGGTATGCAATTTTGTAGAAATCATTAAACTCTGATCTCCTTGTAGCCTAACAGGACATATTACCTGATGGACCCAAGTGGGAATGCTCATAAGTGGTGCAAAAAGATACATGAAGTTTGGCGGCACAGATACCAGAACCATCCGAATGCTGCTGTCTAGGAAAGCTTATCCCAAACTGGCCTGGCTCCTGCCTGCTGCTCCATGATTCAGCATATGGGCTCGGCAGCACATTGGAAGGACCTTCCCACGCCACCTGTTAGCCATCTCAAGGGGAAATCATATGTCTGATATATTGCAGTTTTTTATTTAAAAAAAAAAAAGACAAAAAAATGACAAAAAAACCAACAACAAACATAAATGGAATTCAGGGTCGCTTTGCTTGTTCTTTGTGCTTCCGTTGAGGCTTCCACATGCATATCGTTGCAGTGAAGATCTTGCTTTGGTGCCCTTCAGCTCAATTTCTGCTGCAAACTAGTGGATAGACCTTGCATTACCAACTTCTCTTAAGATAAATTGAAACTGGTCTACATGCACACACTCAAAATCATGTACCAGTCCTGTGTGTGTGTAAATGGGACAGGGATTATTTCTGTGATTTTATTTCCCCCTTCTCCCCTTGCCAAGACCCCATCTAGATTATCATTGAACTCTATTTCATCAGGGAGCTTTTAAATGCCTCTGCTGAGGTCTTGCCATCGTCTCTGTGGGTTTATTTTATTTTCCTGTTTATACTTTTTTTTTTTGTATATGGCAATTGCAGTCAGGTCGGTTTTACCCTTTTCCATAATCTCTAATATAGTTCTGGTTGCAGGATTTCCGTGGTACTTATTGTAATTATGTGAGTGCACCAGAAACATGCTTGGCAGGCAGGCTTCATGTTGTGAAGAGTATGGTGTAGGTTTTAAGTAAGAAAATGCTGAACATGGCACTGAAATTTTATAAAATTAAAATTACTGGTTCCTGAGGGTTATGTAAAATTTTAAGCTTGTTGTTTTAAGTAAATGCATTGAAGTCCTTAATCAAGGGGCCGTACAGGTAGCAGCATGCTTTTAATGAATACTAACTTAAAATGAATTAGTTAGTAACAAATTTTAGTCATTGATATAGGAAATATACTCCTGACATTTTTAGATGAATTCAGGTTTTTCCTTTCTCCAGGGTGTGCACATATACTGCCCTTATGAATGTTGCTACCTGCTTTTAGTGGATATATAAAGATGAATGAGAAGATTTCTATCAGAATTGTTTTAATGGGGCTTGGTGTAGTGAAATGTACAATTCTTCCTGTTCATTAGTTGATGGAAATCTAGTGTACCCTTCCTGAGAATAATTTTTAAAACATTTAAATGTGCTTGGGCACTTTACTAATTGATAAATGGGGAAGCAGAGATGAAACTTTTGATACTGAAGAAGAAAGTACGGTACTTTTTGTCTCATCAGTACATTATTATTGAAGGGTCATATGTCACATGAATCCTTGTTATGTTAAATTGTGGTTGAACATTTCTTGTAACATAGCAGAGAGCTATTAACTTTACATTTAACATTTCTCTAAATTTGTTCTCTAGCCATTCTGCTGGGCCATCTGGGTCTCCTACAAAGAGCAGGGCTTTGCCTGGAGATAAGTGTTACTCATAATTGCATTAAAAAGGGGTAAAAATACCAAACTTAATCACCTCTTATTGATAAATTAGTGTTTTTTCTTAGCTCCTCTTCTACTTGTTTTATTTCCTTTTTGACATTTTTTTTTCTTTAAAGGGTAAGTTTCCTGCTATTGGACAAGTGTTTTTAATTTCCAGATCATTGTTAATTCAGTTATTTTATTTTCTTCATGAATAAGTAGGCAGAAGTCCTGATAATCTATCAGGGTGAAGATGTTTTCTTAATTTTCCCAGAGATGTTCCTGGGGTACAGTTATGAGTGGTGCATGGTTGGTCTCTGAGGGGGCTTTGATACTGCTGCATGGGCGATTTTCTCACATTTATCTCCTTTATAGACCCAAGAGTGATGAGAAACTTTTCTGCTTTTCCTTTAATGTAATCTTCAATAAGTGTCATTAATATATTAATTCAGTTGGAAGGCCTTCCCTGTCTCTCAAAAAGTCATCCATCAGTCTTAGACATAGCGTGCCAAATTGGATCCAGATTTAGAAAAGCTTCTATTTCTTCTTCTTGCCCCAATTAGGTAGTATGAAATGATTTTTCTTATCTCCTGTAATGTGGTAACATAGATTGTTTCAAAGTTACGTTCTCTTTCATGAACCAGGGTCTTGTTAGCTATGTTCATTTGATTACTCTGATTGGTGCAAAATGGTTCAGATAGCGTAATAGGTAGTAGAACACTTCATGGTACTAGTGATTTCTAGTTGGGCATAAGAGCCCGATTCAGTGTTGGAGCGGCATGGAGGACCAAATAGTGTAGAAAGGTTTATAGCTCATGTGGGACCCCAGAGAGTGGGGGCTTTGTAAAGTCTTTCTGTATTGGTATCAGTTGTAGTGCCTTTAATCATATATCTAAAGGGATTTTAAGAAGTTAAACTAAGCATTTGTAGCATAGATTCAAATTGTACTTTTCTTATTTCCTAACCCTGCAAAAGGGTTTTGTTATGTTATTTTACTTCTAAAAGGTGATACTAACATTACCATTTTAGAACATTTTTCCTTTAGGATGACTTCCCTCTCATTTGATTTAGACTGCATATATTGGAAAATTCTCCCAAGCATTTATAGAACTCCCCACTTTTTTTTTCTTTATGCAGTTATTTAAACTGCCTGAAACCTAAGGATACCAAACTGCATTGCCAGCACATCTTTCGTTGGTCATTTGTTTCAGGAGCAATGGACACATCTGATGTATGGCCACTAACTAGGGCATTTTTCGTAGTTGTCTTGTGGAAGAGACACATTCTTTTTTGGACTTTTCCCCTTCCAGGTGGTCATGGCACTACCTCCTAGGCCTTAATAACAATATTCACTTTTAAATTCTAAAACCAGATGGGGATGTTATATTAGCTTTTGCAAATACTGCAATTATTTTGCCATTAGCTAGAGTTACTGATACCACTGTGAGCTAACTCTTTCTTGTTAGGTAAGTTTTTTGTTGCCTACATAAAAGTCCATACTTTAGAAGACTTGCTTTTTATTTTCTTAGCTCTTTCTTATTCATATCAGATATATTCTAGTCTATCCCTATAACCCTGGCGTTTAGGTGCCTTTCATTATATTTAAGATCATATATCTGTATGTATGTATATGTCATCTGGGGAGGATGGGGGAGGAAACTAATACCCTGTTATTTAATCCAACCAAGACAACCTTTAACTTAATGACAAATAGAATGGTAGCACTAACCAAGAGGTTCTGACAGGTGTAGAGAGCTCACAACAACTTCTCACTCTCTGTTTTGGTCTTTCTTAGCATGGGTAAGGAAAAGAGTGGACCAGAGAACTATAGTAATTATCTCTTCAGAAAGCCTACTGTGCCTTGACTTTCTTACCTGGATGCAGAGGTTGTTTTGTTGCTTCTTATAGGTCTATAGGCAGTGAGTGTTCCCATTTGGACCATGAAGCTACAAAACCCAGTATGGGCAAGGGCATTCCAAATGACATTTCAATGTAGTTTCACCAATTTTAGTGTGTAAATCTTAATTCATATGCCCTGTTGCCACTTCCCCAAAACTCTTCCTTCAAGACCCTGGTAGAGAGAAGAGGCTCCTCAATATGAAAAAAAGTCCCTGTTTATACAGACAAATTACAAATTGCCATTCAGATAGATGGTGTGTGTTTCACTGGAACCTTGTTGAAACATTATTCACTCTAAAGTATTATTTGATGTAAGTTTAGGTTCTTTTGGAACCTTTTAGTAGGGGTTTAGTTCCTGATATACAAAAGGAACTTGATTTAAGGCATTTTCTCATAGAAGGCAGTCTCATGACAACATACCAGTAAGGTCCTGCTTCAGGACTGTGCTCTTTATTGTCTCTTACCTGGTACCTACTTCATTTGGCACTTGTAGCTTATAGTTCCATACAGTGAACATTTTTTTTTTTGTTCGGTCCTGTGGCCTATGAAAAGCTTATAGTCTCTGAAATAAATGCAATAAAAAGCTATCTGTCCCAAAGAATGAATTTGAGTAAGACTTTTCACCCTCCCTATAAAAGCTTTAGGCTGATACCTTGTCATGAATGCAGTCAAGCATCAAATTCTCCCCAAAACGATTAAAAAATAATTAATCAGGGAATCTGGTTATGCTTCCAGATTATGTATGCATTTGGCTCCACCACTGACATTTAGCTGCTAAGTGCTCCACATCATGTTTCAGAGACCTTGTATGTTGTAACCACAATGTTTAGGTGCAATGTTTAGTGCCTATTAGCTGCAAGAGCATTTAGAGCCCTCATATTGCCACATTTTTGGTAGATCATAGATCACTCATAGATAATTATTACAAATTATAGAAACTCCAAAATATCCACTGGGTTATTGGGAACCAGTAGAAGAGCCTTAATAGATAGTTAAAAAAAAAAAAACATTCAAAACTGTAGTTACATTGATGGTTGGATCTTTAAAGGCTAGTGTATTTTTCCAGTCCCTTAGGTTTCAGTTCCACCTTGACTCTGAGGTCCAACAAACATGATGGAATAGTATATTGATTGTATTTGGCCCTCAGAAAGAGTTATCCAAATGAATAATTCAGGGGAATAATGGAGTACAGATGTATTTTTCATCCTTTCTGCAGCAGTTCTAGGCAGGCTTCACAGCTCTGCAAAAGACCAAATCATCTCTCTTTGGTTTATTTCTTGATTTCTCCACATCACTCTAGTAAGGGCGTTAAGGAGGAGGTTCTATCATTCCAGATGAAAAGCGTGCAAGCCAGATTTCCTTAGGAGCCATGCTCAACACCACTTTTTAATTTAACAGAGGTTATGGGTCTTAAGCCCCTTCTCTGTAGATGATTGCACTACCCTGGAGTTTCCCTCATCCCTGGCTGGTCCCCAGAATGATGAGGGAACCCATATATACAACTTCAAATGGAGTGGGAGATTTATTAGGTGTAGAGAGTTTGCTGAAGGTACTATGCTTTATGAATGCTCTACACATTTCTCCATTTTATTTTCTTTCATACCCAAACTCAGAAGTGAATTGATGATTGCTCAGTTGGGTGTGGTTTTTATCTCTTTTTCGGCATATGTGGTGAATGTGTAAGTAATCATTTTGTCTTTAGGCAAATATTTTCTAATCAAGTTCTGGGCCACTCCTCTGAAATTTCCTGATTAATAGTGGCTTTGTGGCCCAGGTTTGCATATGTGTGTGTACATTTATACATATACATGTGTGTATACATTTATCTGTATCTACACACATACATACACATATGTAATGCTGCCTTTGGAGAACTCTTCTAGGTAAGTATCCTTATGGCAAAGAGCAATTTTCAGTTCAGATAGAAGCCATGGGGAGCTGAAAACAAAACACCTAGGTGTACCTCTTTATCTTCCCCCATAACTTATTTCTTCAGTCTGTGAAGAAACTCCAAACTGTATGCACAGTGGACTATTTATAAAAAGAAAACATTTTTTTAGCTGTGTAAACCACCCTGTAATCCAATCTGTATGTCTGAATGACTATGAATGTGGGTTCTTACTGTTGAAAAAGCCTCCATGATTACGTCCTAAGTTTGATTGGATGTTGGCCAAATGTACTAAATTGTGGCAGTATTTAGAACTGCTGTAGCTGTCTTTTAACAACATAAAATTAGGAAATTGAATGCATTTTGATAGAATGTTAGCTGTCTTTCAGGTTGGTGGCAGTTAGAAGTGTAATATTCTCTACCTGGTTTGTAGCTGTAACTGATGTACAGGCAAAGCAAAAAAATAAAGAACTTATGAAAACAGAAGCAAATAATGCAATGATATTAGGATATACACTTTTGTATTTTTATTCTTATATAAGGTTATTTGCTGGCTACTGTTGGCCTCTAGTTCAGTCTGTTATTTAAATTCTAATATATGAATTATTTGGATTGAATTTCATGTTCGGGGCCACCTTGTTGTATGTATTGATGTACAGCCTTGAATGTGAATAATTATTGTAAACTATATTTTACAACTTTTTTTCTGGTTTTATTATATAAATTTTCTATTTGGTCAATGATTTAATCATATCTCATAATTTAATGAATCTGTTTATTCTCTTTCCAAATATTTGTGCTTTAGATGTAGTTACTGAATGATGAATTTTTCACATATGCTCGATAGTCTTGTAATAAAAAAAAAGCATGTAGGGCTCTAGGTGTACAATGTCTTGGCTCTTTTCTTTGATTTCCCTCCCAGGACCTTCCCTTTCATCACAGAAAACTGAACTCAGGGAGAAGTTGTTTTTCTTTTAAAAGAGAGTGCGGTGTTGTATCCTTATTTGTAGTGAAAAAAGCCTGGAGTCCAGCTTTGACAGCTGTGTGAGACCTTCCTCTGGGCCCCTCTTAAGATGGGAATGACATCCGCCTGCTTCGCCGAGCTGTCGCGGGGAAAGCGCTCTAGACACGTGAGCTACAATGCCAAGTCACAGAAGGGGCCAAAAGGCCAGTTTTAGGGCGGAAAAGAGGCTTTGTTTTCCGTCTGCTACCCATGTGGGTCCTCAAGGGTCTGGGCCAGTCTGGGCAGGAGTCCCAGTCCTCTTTGGCAGCGCTACGCGGGGCTGCCCGCGGCGCTGAGGCGAGTGCACCGACGCTTTGGCCCAGTGACGGGGGAGGCTCTTGTGTCAGGGTGGAGTGCGGCGACCTCGGCGGCGGGCCCACTTGAACTTGGAAGCTGGCGCCCTTCCCCCGCTCCCTCCTCGATATCTCCAGCAGGCGGCCACCTTTGGAGAGGAACACTTCCGGCACCCGAGGGCGAAGAAGGGGGTGGGGAACCAGTTTAAAGAGCTGCTTCCGTTCTGGAGGACCGTCAGGGCGGTATTTCCGTCGGCGGGACCCTTTTGAAGGGTGGACTTGCCGGGCGGGAGAGTGCCCGGCGGATGATACTAAGGGCCGGACGCTTCCGGCCCGAGGAAGCCTAGCCGCCCGGAGCAGAGTGTAAGGCCCGGTCGGAGGGGCTAGAATCATGGCGGAGGATCACTGCGAGCTGCTCCCGGCTCCCGGCGCCGCCGCGGTCGGGGTGGGGCCGGGGGGCAGCTTGTGTCGGCGCTGTGGCTCTGGGCTTGCGCCCCTCGGGGAGCGGGCTGCCGGCGGCGGCTCCAAGTGGGTCCGGCTCAACGTGGGCGGCACCTACTTCCTCACCACCCGGCAGACGCTGTGCCGGGACCCGAAATCCTTCCTGTACCGCCTGTGCCAGGCAGATCCGGACTTGGACTCAGACAAGGTGAGAGGCCCGTTGGGCGTCACGCGACCCTTTCGCGGGCCCCTGCTGCCGGGTCCCGGGGCGGAGCATCTCCCCTCCCCCTGCTCAAACTGAGCAGACCCTGGCCTTCCCCGACTCACGGGGTCCGGTCCTCAGGCTGAACGGCCGCCTCCTGCAGCCCCACCCCATTGTCTTATACCTGGTCCGAGACATCCCTTCGACCTCGACTCCCAGCAGACACTCACACCCCTGTTCCCATTCATACCCCTCGTCCCCAGAAGACCCTGGCTTCTCATTTGTCGCGGTCCTGCGGTGACCCCAGGGCTTCCCCTCCCTTCTCCGAACTCAGTCCTTTCTCCAGACAGAGCAGACCCGAGTCTTCTGACTCTTAGACCCCGTTTTCTTCTTCTCTTTATACTCTTTCCGTGTCCTGACTAAGTAGGTTCCCCCAACTACACAACATTCTGGTTCTGTCTATAGACTGAGGAGACCCTGGGCTCCCTGTATTCGATCCCTGACTTCATGGTTCCCCCCATCCCCTCCCCCCAATCTTTCTCAGGCTAAAGAAACCCTGGGATCCTAACATAATTGTAGCTCAATCCCACTCCCCTCCTCCCATCCCAGTCCAGCCCCATGCCGAAGAGACCCCGGGATCCCCCCATACTTAATCTTACTCCAGACCCGAGACCTAGAACCACCCAATATTCCCGTTTTTCAAGCTGATGAATCCCCGGCGGGGGGGGGGGGGTCTCTCCTTATCCATTTCCGTTTTTAGGCTGTTTTCCGTTTCTGGTTCCTAAACTCAGTGGTCCCTCCCCCACCAAAAAAAAATTCCTTTGAAGTGCCTTCTCTTTCCCCTTGGGCTGAAGATAATTCTGGTGTCCTATAAACCCTATTCTCTTGTTTTGAGGGGCCCACCATTCCCCTTGCAAGACAGGAGATTCTGGTATCCCTTATGACTACTTTCCCCTCTTTAAGTTGAATAGACCTTCCTATGACTTATAAGGGACCTTGGAGTTTCCCTCACTTTTCATTCCACCAAGTGCTTGAATGCTGAGACCCCAATGTTCTAATTAGAAGACCTTGCTATTTCCAGTCTCACTTTTCCCTGGTTATTAGACTGAAGGAATCTCCCTAGCCATTTGGTGACTGACTCGATTCCTCCTTTCACCAAAACCTTTGTCCAGCCCCTCCAATCCAGCTGTAGAGATCCTGGCAGCACCTTCCCCCAGTAGAGGGGAACACCCCCCCCACCCCGCCCTCCCTCCCCCCCCACAACCCCCGCCGCCCCCCCCCCCCCCTCACCCCCCCCCCCCCCCCCCCCCCCCCCGCCAATTACTCTCTCCTCTACCTTCTATAATTGATGCTCTTATACTCTTTGGAAAGTGCCAGTGAGTTTATATTCTCAAGCTTTCATGTCATTTTTTTTTTTGTTAACTGAGTAACTTTCTTTGTTTTGTCTTTTAATGCTTTACTGGTGATTCTTTTTTTTTTTTTAAAGGTATTGGTGAGGTGGGGCTCACCCTACATTCTCTTTACAAGTATAGTTATTTATTGTCTCTGGAAACTGTATATATAGGTAGACCTTGTCCGATGTAGTTAATTGATTTCACAGAAGCTTTGACATTGAGCAAAATGGGACAATGAATTCTATAGGAACAAGTCATATGTATGGTATTTATTTTGACCTGCTTTTTATCTTTAATGTGATTTTTCTGAAAGAGGTTTTATCTTGCTGAGACACCTTTTAATGGTGTTATGAAGGATCAGGAGCTAAATCTAGGTCCTCTTCAGTCTGTCCGTTAACTTAATACATTTGTTGTTTTTCACTGCTCTGGAAAGGATTATGGATTGTTGGCTTAGGTAACGTGCCCTTCATTAATTTAATGCTTAGACTATGTGTGTATAGCAGTAAAATGTTTCTTGACCACTAGTCTGCTTAAAATTTTTACCTTTGTACAAAAACTGTACTGCTCAAGATGCTTAATTCTTAAAAAATCTACAAACTTTTTCTATTTCCTATGACTTGCTTATGGTTCTCTCTTTAACCCTGATTTTTGGTTCCCATTCTTGAGTTATGGAGTATATGCTACTAACTTGCAGAATAGTGTGGGCTAGAAAACAAAAATTATTTAACTTTCACCTTTTCAAAAACTGTAAAATCCCTAGAACTAGAAAGGACTTTAGAGTTCATCTAGTCCAATTCCTTGCCTAAAACATGGGATAATCAAGCTTCTGTTTGAACACCTTTATTAATGGGGGGGAGGGAGAGAACAAGAGAGAGAGTGTGGAGGGGGGTTGGGGGGGATCACTACCTCACGAAGTAGCCCATTCAATTTCTGGACAGCTGTAATTACTAGAAGTTTATAACACTGAGTATAGTGTTTACAACAGTCATTTGCTTGTGGTAGGAGTTGTCCACGTGGAATTCTTTACAAGAAGTATGTATCTGAAAGAAGTAACGAATTTATCCTTTGGAGGCACTGTGAAGATTGAGGCTTAGAGAAAGCTTGGTCAGGACAGTAATTTTTACCAACCTATCCTGAGTTGGTAGAGTTTATAAGAGTTACTGATGTTTCTGTTTTCCCCATGTATTTAACACATTTAGTTTATTATGCCTTTGTTATGTGTCTCATACTGTGCTGGGAGGGAGAGAGAGAGAGAGAGACAGACTTCAATATTTTGGATTAATGGTCTCATTAACGTAGGTATTCCCAATGGTGCAGGTTACAGCCCATCTATAGCTTTTATCCTGCAGTTTTTTGCCCATTTCCTCCTGTAAATTCACCAGAGGGGATCCATTGAACATGTTGAGGACCTTCTTCTGTATCTTGTGAGGTTGCATGGATGCCAGTGGAGCACTTTCCAGTCATTTGCATGATTGGAAAGGTGTAATCTGCTATAGAGTAACATTTGTAAAAGCTTGCCTGTTCTCTTCCCAAACTGTCATCAAGATTTTTAGAGTTGGAAAAGTAGGTCTATTGATATTTTCTCATTTGCATTTTTGGGGAGGTAATAAGGTCCAAGGTTTTATTTAAAAAAAAAAAAAAAAGGTATTTCCCCCGCCTTTCATGAATGTTGAGACTCAGTCTTTCAGTTCCCTTGCTTCAAACACATACTTCTTCCTAGTATAGTTCAATTGCTTTTGCTATCTCTATTTTCTTTATTGCTATTTCTATTTCTTCATGTAGTTCATGGGAGATTGTGGTGTTAGAGGCCAGATATGGTGTTATTGAGTGAAAAAAAGAATTTGTATTAGAAATCTGTATAGTCCTTTGCATTTTTTTTCTTTGCTGTCCTCCCTCCAGCTTCATCCTTATTGTAAGGATGATTTAGTTTAGCTGAGTCCTTAGGAACAGAATAAAGATGAAAAATATTAATTGCTGTAATCAAGAAGTTTATATAGTAAGGGGAACAGACATACAGTAGTACTATATTAGAAAATGTTTAAGTGTATAAGAAAGGTCCATGGAGTGATTTGAGAGATTCAAAGGGAAGGATCTCTTCTAGCTGACAGGATTGGAGAAAGCTTCATGGATGAGATGACATTTGAGCTGAGGCTTGAAGAATGGGAAAAGTGTATTAAAAGGTATGAGAGAGTGTTGGAAGCGTGATATCTGAGAACTGTGAGTATTCCAAACTGGTTGGAAATTAGAGGGAGTAAAGGGAGCCCATCATGAAATAAAGTAGGAAAAGCAAGTTGGAACTAGATTGCTAGCCTTGAATGCTAATTTGTTCTTTGTTCAGTGAGGGCTTCTGAGAGTTTTTGAGATGATTTTTGAGGTCAAATGTCTTTGCAAATATCTAAGGACAACTATCTTTCTAAAGAAAGATTACTTTGTTAGTGTGGGATTAAAGAGCGGAGAGAGTCTGATGGCAGAGAGACCAATAAGAAAGTTATTATAGTGTTCACAAATGCATGTTTAAATACCTTGATTTGCTATTTGGAATGCATGACCAGA